GCCTATATGTTATTATTTGGATGTGTTTTCCATAAGTTCATTAAAAAAGACTATTTTAGGTCTCGACTAAACTGTTTTAGAACCATTGATGTTAACTATTACTATTTTTTGGGATTACACATTGCTGTCACATCTGTAACACAGAGTTTTGTGCCTCTTGTTTGGACCCATGTTTGATGACATGGAATAAAAGACAAAGCAGCCGACTACAAACAGACACGCATCTGACCACTATGGGACTCAAATCTGGGTTTTTATTAAGCTTTTATAGAGCTGTGGGCTTATGGTCTCACTTAATGGGGCTTGTGAAGCCCTTTGCATGGACCAATAATAGGTAGCGGGTAGTTGTTTTGTGGGATGGGGGGTGGAGGACAGTTGCAGAAGGGCTTTCTTTGTGATACAGTGACATATGGGGTCTTCATTTCCACAGCCCCCATCCCCCTCACTCATAAAAAACACCCCATGAGACAAATATACCATCAATCAATCCCTGGACCATAAGAGCAGGACGTTGTCGGGCCTGCTGCCGACAGGAAATGAAGGGGGGGATCTGATTACAACCTGGGGGCTGTTTCTTTTTAGCACCAACATATCTTAAAGATCACAAAAAGATGACTGCTGAGAATCATCCGGTCATCATGTGATATTGTGCCATAATATAAGTGTTCTCAGTGGCTGGACAACTCAAGTTCAACCACACATACAAAGAGAATAAACTTATAGTCATAAACTTATAGAATTATAATGTTGATAATTCAAGAGTATCCTAATGTTTGCTACACAAATGTGCAGGTGAAGTGACACACTAAGATGCCTTATACTGTGGTTTGGTATAGTTTTATTGGAATTATTGGTTTTATTTCCTTATAGGTGCTGAAAAAGGACCTTTTTTTTTTTTTTACTATAACAAACAATTAAATTTTAAGTTTTTTATATTTAAAAAAAATGTATTATTAAAACGACAAGTGATCAAAAGCTCAATTTTACAATGTTAAAAATAATTTAGTAACACTACAATAAGGATCCATTAACAATGAGCAAGACATTTGCATTTATCAATCTCTGTTAATGTTAGTTAATAAATTACAACTGTTCATTGTTCATGTTAGCTCAGGTGCAATCAATAATATTAAAACTTTTGATATTAATACTGAAATGAACATACATCAAGATCAATATTAGAAGTATTTTCCGTTGTTAATTCATGTTAACTAATGTAGTTAACCAATTTTAACAAATGAAACCTTATTGTAAAATGTGACCAATGATTTTTGAAGAAAATACCTTTTCAGTCTACTTCAAAATTTAATTTGATGTACTACTTGCAATTGAAATTTACCTAAAATTTACTAGCAATTTCCGAATGAAACATTGTTTCAAAGGAAATCCTACACCATATTTCAGTGTCCAATTTAAAGTTGACAGTTCAAAAGCAGCTAGACCTTGTGTAAAAAATAAGGAATTTATGTGACAAAAAAGTATTTAGAGATTAAATACTATTTTAATTAGTAGCAGACATATTTGGAAATATATTATACAGGTTGTAAAATAGTGCAGAAAACCACTTGTTATTGATGTTGAAACTAAATGTGTTAGAACACCCCTTGGTCTCCCCTACAACATTTCATAATCACCTTTATCGTGGCAGGACGCCAAGTGACAGAGCCTAAGTAAATCTCTGCTCACATCTACCATCACAAAGCCCAGTGACTGTGAATGTTTACCATTTTCCAGACAGCTGTTGGCATGGACAAGTAGCCTGATGTAACTATGCGAGCTACATCAACAATCAGCTGAGTCAAATTATTAAAACCCATTTAGAGATGCAAATTTCATGTCAAAGTGTGAGGTTCTTACTTTTATGGTCTTAAAGGGGTGGAATAACAAGATGTAAAATAAGTCTCTGATGTCCCCAGAGTGTATATGTGAAGTTTTAGCTCAAAATACCCCACGCATCATTTTTTATGGCATTTTCAAATTGTCCCTTTTTGAGGGTGAGCAAAAACTTGTCGTTTTCTGTGTCTCTTTAAATGCAAATAAGCTGCTGCTCCCGGCACAGAGGGCGGAGCTTCAACAGCTTGTGTGTTAGCACTAGCAGCTCCGGTTACCTCAGGCAGACATTAGGGGTGGGAGAAAAAATCGATCCATCGATGCATCGCGATTCTCTCTCCAACGATTCTGGATCGATTCTGAGAATCCCAGAATCGATTCTGAGCTTAGTTTTTAACCAGATGTGCGATGACGTTGAGTTTGCTTTAGAAACACCCGTATTCTGCTTGCTTACAATTCCTCACACACATACACCACTCGAACCTTCCGTAAAATAATCTTTCATAAAGTTCGGAAAGGTTGAAGCGAATTACAAGGACATTCACAGGCTTCATTGCACAGGATACGCTGTGAGAGACGCGCACTTTCTTTGATGTTACACTTGAAGTGTGTGTGCTGTCTCGCCCGTCGGTATTTTCCTTACAAATGCTCTACGAAGTCATCATTTATGTGGTTTGGAATGCAGTGGACTTATATATTTAAAATTTGAACCTCACGCTGCTTTCAATTTCGAATGCTGACGCGCGCTTTGTTTGTGTCGTGAGACTGCTCGTGCATGCGGCCGTGCGGATACGTGTAGTGGTTTAATGTAGGCTACTTGTGCAAAATTAACGTAAACACAGCCAGTTATGTCTTAAGGGATTAAACGGACAGGACACAGCGCATTACTTCTTTTATTTCAAAAGAGATGTGTGCGTGAATGCAGCTTAATAGATCTCCCGCAGTCTATGATGTCATAGTAAAAAACAACAGTAAAGATGAAGAAAAATCACTCACAGTTCTTGAATGGAAAACGTTCAGATAATCTATAGGCTACTGAAAGCACTTTTTGTTTGTTGTTTGTTATATTTTTCTATGCTCCTCTTTATTATTTGTTATATTAGTTATATTAGTTTAAAATTCTTAACATACAACTGTTTTAATAAAAAAATAATAATTTGTAATTATTTTTTAAAAAGTACTTAATTAGGCCTACTTAAGTAAACTAATGAATTAATGAGGGGGGGAAAGGTAGATAAAGAATCGTTCTGGAATCGGATCGTGACTCCCAGAATCGGAATCGGATCGGATCGTGAGGTAACCAAAGATTCCCACCCCTAGCAGACATGCACTAAAATGTCAGAAACTGTTCTGCCTTTTATGTTCAAACCGAAGTCGGACAATGATGGAGAGACTCAAGAAGAAGTGACAACATGTATAATGTAATGAATGGTTTCTGAATGGTTAGTTGATAAATGTATGTAGCTGATGTGGAGTTAATTATCTTCAAGTCATTGATTACCATATTCTTTCATGATAATCTATAAATCGCTAGTGTGGGAACTGTTGTAAGATGCCTACAGAGTGACATGCTATTGCATTTGTTTTACGTACTGTATGTATTTGAAAAGACGGATGCGACAGCTTGAACAGACTCACAAATGTGCTCTACTACAACAACTCATCCTCTTCTCATGGACTCATGGACCCCTTTGTTGCTTGCGTGTTCCCGGGGGCAGGATTTATGTAAATTTTAGGGTTTGTGATGTCACTAACCCGGGAGGAAGCTCGTGTCGTCCCTACCAGCCGTTTGTTAGTCCTTAAAAAGCGATTTCTGGAAAAGAAAATATCTCCCTTTTCTTTGAACTTTGAGCGTCGTAACTTTGCCGATGTTGTTTATGCTCAAACCGCAACATTACACACTAACTAAAGTTAGAAAAGTGAAATCATAATCAACCACCCCTTTAAATAAGGGATTGTCGGTAACAATTTGTTCAGTTTGGGATTATATCTTTGTGTTCAAGGTCATGACACTACAAGTTGTTTATTAGGGGCCATTTACACAACACGTTTTCAACTAAAAACTGACAACTTTTTATGCGTTTTGGCTGTTCATTTACACGACAATTGCGTTTTGGGGGCCTGAAAGTGGTTTCAAGGTGCACATTTTTGAAAATGATACCGTTATCTTCTCTGTGTAAAATACAAAAATGGGAATTTGTGAAAACGGTGACATAATGCACATATTTAGTTCATAGGCGCGTAGTGTTTCTTTACAAAGTGACATCATCTGCCTGGCATGCAACAAAACAAAACAAAATATATAACATTGCCTAGTGGTTTTTGGATATTTTACTGCAAACATCCTACATATTGTACCTTTAATGTACCCTTAGAAAAATAATTTAATGGTGATATTTCTATGGGAACTATTAATTCTAAACATTTTTTGTGAAGAGGAGCTATGATAGAAAGATGACTGAGATTATATTTTGCCCTCAAAAAATCTATCTATCTATAGTAGTTGACTGGGGACACAGTATCCTCATGGAGAAAAAAGATGAAAATAAAATAAAATTAATTGGGTTTGTTGAGGAAAAATTACTACAATAACACATAGTAAAAGTTGGCATCAGATTGTCATTGTTTACACATATATTCATGAGGGACACAAAAGGCAGTCGTTTAGTGGTATGAACCAAGGAAAGGTTCACGCCCTTCATGAATAAACGTGCGGCATAATCATTGATGAGCACATCAAAAGGTAGCCTACTCAACTCTACCAAACGATATTTCGAAACGTACTTGCGGAATTGAACATTCTTTATCACATTTTATCATCCGACAATTTACATTCCATTCTGCATTCAAATGGTGTGACACCTGCTTCAGAACTGAGACACGTAGCCCTGCTAGTATGTCCACATTTCCACGTGGATAGTGATGCTTTTAAATCTACCACCCACTTATAGAAAACTTTCATTATAAAAATATTATTGCATTTTACCAATAAATGACTACACCAATATGACTGAGAACCGAACAGATTTATCAGCAACGCCTTTTGCTGCTGGCAGCTCATTAAATATTCACAGAAATTATTTGAAAATCTTTAGACTTAATTTGTCTTTCATTCATTATATATTTTATTTTAATTGTATATCATTAATCTTTGTTCCAAGAGGACTCACCCTTCCCAAATACAGCTCGTCAAGTCCACAATCTATCCACTTTTCCACATCCAGACGCTTCTGGAGTTCCTTTCTGTTATATTTGACGGTGACTCGTGCTTGCCTCTTCTGCACGCTCAGTCCAGCATCCCGGCTGGTACCTCGGCTCGGTGAGTGGATCTTATTGTTATAACGCTTCCCCACCCGATTCGCAGCCATCTCCAGAGTGACCCTCTGGATGGACACTTGCATTCAAATAATTGATCAAGAGTCTGGCGGAGTAGGTGCGCTCCTCCGACACCTCCAGAGCGCGCTGGGCCGCAGGGTCCTAGCGCTGCGAGATCACTGTATATACTCTCGCTCTCGGGGTCTGGAGACCACAGAGGCCCGCAAGGAGGTGCTACAGTGTTAGGGTTAGGGGACGTAGTGTGTGTGTGAAACCAACCAACAAACAAAAAGTTTATATTTATGTCGTTAATTTATTTTTCACAAACATCTGTTTATGATTTCATTGATGGCTATTGATGCATGCTATTTTATTGATATAATGGCTTCAAAATGTATAATTTTCCTGAAAAATAGGCTATTTGCATAAATAAAAGAGAAAACATATTTGCATTTGTTTGAGAAAATTGCCATTTATTTTAATTTCTCTTCATTTTGACAAGTAGGCTACATAGCCTAGTTTGACAGTCATATCAAGATACTTTTTCTGTTAATGTCATGTATTTTTATATAATAATCAATAATTTCACTGATTTTCTTAGCAACTATTTTTTAAAGAAGCAAATCTAAAATGCATACATTAATTAAAAAAAGTGAATTATCTATCTATGATGATATTATGGCTATTCTTGGAAGCTCAATTTTTTTAAGAAGCAACTCTAAAATACATACTTTTTTTTGTTACCCCAACCCCAGTTAATGTGTCTTTTCTTTGATAATGTGAACTAACTGACATTTAGTAAGGCGTAGCATGCAATACACATTTACCTACACTTTCAGTACAGACGGTTCCCACACACACGTTGTTGTTATTTTCTATCATGGTGGTGGCTATTTTCCACTGACGCCCAATGTTTTTATAATGACCTAGTGATATTTTCTATCTCCTACCTAAACCTAACTCACACAAACCATCTTTAAGCTGTTTCATTGAAGTGATTGTTGCTGGTCATGTCGTGGGAAAAGTCTTTCCCTCTTTGCAAAAATCACTCGATGCAGTTCCAGATGCCAAATCTTAGACTTTATTGGTGGAGACAACAAAGCTGATTCCTGCAGAACATCTAACTCTCTCATTCAAAACTTCTCATTCTTATACATTCGCTCAATCAATGAGCATTCATTGGCTTATCTTTAATTTTATTAACCCATCCTCCTTCGTCCGGTTTAATCAATTCCTTATCTTCTTTGGCTTCTTTTTAATAGTGGTGTGCCACCAGTTGGTCTATTTAAAAAAAAGAAACATTTAGCAACTTATTTTCATTATGCAGGTGCATGCTCTTGGCAAGTTCATCTTAACTGAGACATATGCTACTTCACTCATATAATTGTGCAGACTATAGTCTACAAACATATCTTAAACGTCTAACAAAAATATAGCCTAGTCACAATACAGTTGATTTTCCGGTTTTTGCTTGAGGAGACATGGTTTCCACAATGTAAGCAAAACCAGGCACACACACACACACACACACACACACACACACACACACACACACACACACACACACACACACACACACACACACACACACACACACACACACACACACAATGTTAATTGACATCGTTATTAAGAATATATTCCAATCCATCATCAATAATACATTAATTTGAGGAAATGATTTGAGTTTAGCTCAGCGGTTCTGTGACTTCTGTGGCGCTGTATCATGTGAAAGTCAAATAGTGACGTCACTTAAGAGGAAGTTGTTGTTGGTTGGTTGGTTGCATTATTTGTTTGGAGACGGACACCTGCTGCGTACGTAGCCTATACACAAGCGAAACAGTTAAAGAATCGAGTTTGGTTTAATAGGTGGTGATTATAGAGCTTGTTTAACTTTATTCGAGTCGCAGTCATAAACGAGAACAGCTAGGACAGGTAGACAGGAAGTGAAGAATGGCTCAGGTGCGTTTCACAGCCTCCATCGTTGGTTTTCTCTGTTGTCTGTCTATTCTAAACGCGTGTGAGTGGGACCCAGACACGGACGTCGAGCAGGGTCTAGATTTTAGCTCATTTGATAACGGCGCGGCTTACCTGGCTTACCTGCCGGACATCTCGGACAAAGAGCAGTGCCAGAATGCTTGCTGTGAGAGTGAAGACTGCCAGATCGCTCTGATCGGGACTCCTGCGGACGGCAGTCCAGAATGCCGCCTGGTCAGCTGTTTGAAAGACGGCAAAGACGTGTGTGTTTTGACCCAGAGCACACAGTTCAAGGTGTACCGCAAGATCCGGGATACCGCTGATCAAAAACTCCAAAGCGAGGCTGATGTTCGCTCTGTAAACACAGGTAATAGGCCTATTACCAGGAAAAATAAAATGGTCTTAAAAACCAAAATTAAAGATAAAATGCCATAATTAATATAGGCTGTTATTTGAGCTATTATTAGCCTACTATACATTAATATGTGACTTCTAACTATGTTTTTTTTAGCGTAAACTATGTAAAAATTATCATACGTTAATTGTAATTGCATGTAAATTAGGGAAAGTTTTAGAATAGGCCTACTGGTTAAATTGGTTTCATAATGTTTTGTAAAATATTTATTTTCAAAAACAGAGTAGGCTAATGAATGCACGTTAATGTAGCAAAACTTATTTTCAAAACTTTTCAAAGATTTTTTTTTTTTAAAACTTTTTTAAACTTAAAATGTGCCTTTTCATAAATAGGTAAAAATGTCAATTTTTTTTTTTTTTTTACCCATTAACCTACACAGTTGTTTTTTGTTTTGTTATTTTGCCAAATGACAACACAATGGGTTTCTCCATGATGGTTACATCATACCGAAAAGTTTTTCAAATATTTATAATATTAATTATAAAACACAATTTCTTTACTGCTTTTTAAAGACTTAGCAATAAAAGTTTATGCCAACTTCTTATGCCAATTTAGTGTGTTGTTATTAGTTCATGCAGTAACTTGTTTGGCTATAGGCTATATGTTACCTTATGTAATGTACAATAAAAGGGAAGGCAAAGGAAAAGTTTAGCATTTCATGGAATATACATGAGGATAAGTAATATTATAATGTCTATTCATGGAGAAATTGTTAATATTTATCTATGATCATGTTCATAATTAAGTTTGAAATAAACCTAACCCCAAGAAGAACAAAGGAAATGCTGTTTAGAAGCCCTTCCCTTTTTCCAAGTAGTGTTGCAGCATTGTTGTCCAGTGGCCTGCACCTGACCAACTCGTACTTCAGGTTTTATAACCCAGTACTGTAAACTAAAGTCTTTAATAGCGTAAGGGATGGTAAAGACACACAGACATCGCAATACCTGAAAGACATATTCATTTTGGTAACACAGTAGCTATATGTTGCAACAAGTGACAAAGTGTGGTCAGAGGTCTGCAATAATATAATGGCCAAATGCAGTTGAAATCTGAGAAGTACATTTCCTACAGTTAGGACATTCAGTACATGTTCACTCTTTTGAGACTTTTCCTTTTCTTCTGTCTTATTAGATCTCTGCCATCTCCCAAGTGCAGTGGGAAAATGCCGCGCTGCTTTCCCACGATTCTATTATGATGTCACCAATCAGACCTGCAAGCAGTTTATCTATGGCGGCTGTGATGGCAATGATAATAACTTTAATACCCAGGAGGAATGTGAGGCATCCTGTAGTGGGGTGACAGGTAAATATCAGCCAATATTTTTTTTACGTGTTACATTTTCAGTGTTATGCAAACCTTTATTTTGTAAAAGGTTTATTGATGATGATGATGATGATACGATGATAATACATTTGATTTATATTGCGCTTTTCTCCAACCCAAAGCGCTACACAAAACAATATACAGTACCAATATATAAAAAAGAGACGAGAAGAAAAAAAATTAAACATTACAAAAGTTAATGATAGTACACTTCAGAAACAATAAGCATTTTTAAAATGATAGGTCTTTAGAGACTTCTTAAAACAGTCCAGTGTTGGGGAATTTTTAATCACCAGAGGAAGTTTATTCCACAACCGTGGAGCTGTAACAGAGAAAGAGCGACCAGCCATCGACTTCAATTTAAATGTGGGCTGCTAAAGAGTAGAAGAGTTGGAAGAGCGGAGAGAACGAATTGGAGTGTACGGAGCAACTAGATTACAGAGATATGCCGGCGCTATCCCATGAATGGCTTTATATGTTAAAATCAAGATTTTAAACTCAATACGTGCCGGTACTGGAAGCCAATGGAGTTAATAAAGAACAGGGGAAATATGCTGCCGAACAGTTGTGTGTGTCAATACACGTGCAGCCGAGTTTTGAATATACTGTAATTTCTTAATATACTTATCAGGGAGAACCGAGTAAAGTGCATTACAATAATTTAGTCTCGATGTTATAAATGCATGGATAAGCCTTTCCGCATCTGGCAGAGATAAAGAAGCCCCTATTGCCCCTAATGTCTCTTTATCATTTATAATCCCAAACCTAATTGTGATGATGGATATACTTTCAGATATTGGCCTTGTGCAACTCTCTCACCTCTGTTATAATCTTTTTTTTATAGCTTCACATACACTACTGTTACGGTTTATTTAATCTTTGTGGACAAAAGTCTCTCATGCTCACCACGGCTGCATTTATTGGACCAAAACTAGAGGAAAAACAGTAATATTGTGAAATATTACAATTTAAATTGCTGTTTTCTATTTGATTTAAAATGTAATTTATTAATGTGATGGCAAGTTAGCCATTCCTCAGTCTTCAGTGTCACATGATCCTTTAGAAATCATTCTAATATGTTAATATTAATAGGAAACATTTCTTATTTTTATATGTTGAAAACAGTTGTGGTCCTGCTTCATATTTTTGTGGAAACATGATAAAGTTTTTTTTTTTTTGGATCAATTTTATTGCACCTTCCCTGAATAAAAGTATTGGTTTCTTTTAAAACAAAAAAGCATTTGAATGGCAGTGTAAAAATCAATCTGTGAAGTGCCAAAACATTTATTAATTTACTTGCTATCTCCTGTTTTGGACTTCTTGCTTTATAGATAAGCTTTTGCGTCACGCCCTTCACATGGTATTCGTCATTGTTTAGGCATTAAAGCTGAGATGACTGTACTGTGTGTAATGTGTATTTAGGCTAGTGAAGTTCAGTGACAAAACAGAGGCTTTTACGATGGACAAAAAGAATCTTCTTTAAAGTGTGGTTTTATGTTGAGTAATTGTATTAAATTGGTACAATTGAAGCACACAGTTGATGCCTGTACATTATGATTTAAAGGATCCATGTAGTTGTTTAATCTCTACTTTAACCACTGGATCCATTATAAAAGGACTGGAACATTTCGGATCACTAATATTTAAGCTACCCACAGTGTGTCAGCAGTCTAGTTAGGGTGTAGTATGGGGAAAAATGCCATGCAAATCAATAAACACATCCTGGATTTGAGGACAGCTACCATTTGCATCAAGGTAATGTTTGCATTTGGCTTGCATTTGGGCCCCAAGAGGAAATGCAGATCAATTTAGTGTATTGGAAGAAAAACATTCAGTTTTATTGAGTTTTTGGAGTTTAAATCTTGACACACTGGTATGTGAGGCCCAGTTTTGTAATGCGTCCCATTACAATCAATGTAAAAGTCCCTTGGAACAGTTTTAGAGCATATCAGTCTATGATTTGACATGTCTGTGGTGACGAAAACTGAGGTTTCGACAAGGAGACCAAAATATGAGCTTTGGAAAACCATACAACTTTTATTACAGCCTTTCTCCAGTGAGAGTGGGCACAAATCAAGAACCCACATTGTAGTTTGTGGTTGGCTATGTGCTGAGTTGGTTTATGTCCTGCTATATTTTAATGGTGTTGAGTTGATTTGCATGTAGTAGTAATCTGTAGTAGAGTTCAGCCAGGTAACTTGTCATGGGGCCTGTATTATTAAGTTATTCTCAAAGCAAAGTGTATACCTTACCCTAATTTTACAGGCTGGAATCAAAACCACTTCGGTCAAAGTCAGCTTGTTTTCACATTTTGGTAAGGCACAGAACAACTTCAGTGAGTTTGAGTGGGTTTATGCTGAATCTCCTAACAAATGGACACTCTGGTTTCATCTTACTCTGGGTTGTTGAATAACCGGTTCGATGACCTCTATGCAGATTAATTACCTGTTCTCAACAAGGACATGATGACAAGCACGTTAGTTGTCACCATGTTTTTTTTTCTTTTACCTCTTCCCTCTTTTACTGGAATTGCATTTAAATGAGTGATCTATCTTCACATATTCACTAGGAAAGTGGAAAGGAAAGGCTTTTTAATGTTCTTTATGGGCTCGTTGTGCTTTGTGCTTGCTTTATCCGAGTGACCCTTTGTGATCAGTGGAATTACCACATTTTGTTGAGTTGAGATGATGTTTAAAAGGGAAAAGATGCCATCTGCTTTCAATAGAGATGCTAAGATTCTATTATTGTCATCAGGAAATAATACAAAGAATTTTATTTACAACATTCTGGGCTGTTTTGTGTTATGCAACGATATTGTGTTCGTGTTTGTATGTGTGTGGGCCTTTGTTTGTGTGAGGATGTGATGCAAATTGTGCAACTATATATTTTTTATAGAACATTCCTTACGATGAATTTCCCCCATGGAAAAGTTTAGTTTGTTACTTTGTTACTGAATTACACTACCGTTCAAACATTTGTGGTCAGTATTTTTTTTTAAAGAAAATAATTCTCTTAATCAGCAAGAATGCGTTAAATTGATCCGAAGTGACAGTAAAGACATTTATAATCTTACAAAAATATTTCTATTTCAAAGATATGCTGTTCTTCTTTACATCCTGAAAAAAAACGTATCACGGTTTCCACAAAAATATCCAGCAGCACAACTATTTTCAACATGGATGATAATAAGAAATGTTTCTTGAGCAGACAATTAACATATTCAAATGATTTCTCAAGGATCATGTGACACTGAAGAATGAAGTAATGCTGAAAATTCAGATTTTCATCACAGGAATAAATTACATTTTAAAATATTTTGAAACCGAAAAGTGTTATTTAAAATTGTAATAATATTTCACAATATCACTGTTGTTACTGTCTTTAAATTCAGTCTTGGTGAGGATAAGAGACTTTTTCCAAAAACAATACAAAATCTTACTGGCACCAAACCTTTGAATGGTAGTGTATGTCTCTTGTTCAGAAATATAGCACAGTAATTTAAATTGTCTTTCTGCTCTCTTCAGGTTCTGTTCTTACGGACTCCCATTCTATCGCTCAACGCAGCAGAATGTCCATACCTGAGAACAACAATGGTAATCAAATCCATCTTCATATCTACAGTATATCATAATCCAGATGCCCCAATGACACCAGTTCTCAGAGATATATGCGATTATGACATAGCAGTTTTTTTTTTTTTTTTTTTACAACAGAGAAACACTGATCATTTTGTAATAATAAACAATTAGCTCAAATTATATCTCAACATCTGTCCTCAACTAATAATAAATATTAAAACGCATTAATTTGTCCTTTTGTAATGAATTAAAAGAGGGTCTGGGATGTCCAGGACCCAGTAATCATTCACAAAGCAAAACAACATTTTTGCTATCCCACATTTTATTACTATAAACATTTCTTTGTTTTAGTTCCCGTCAGCTATTTACACATGCATTTACTACAAAGTGTTGTTAATTAGCACACCAATTAGTCTTGAGTACTAGTAATTTACAATTCACATTAAAACTGAGACCGTATTCACTTGAAAATGGAAACAATAGACATTTTATAGTTTCCATTTTACCAGGTATACATGTGACAAATAATACTTTGTACTTATGTATTCTGTCTCGTCCTCCTCAGATGTTGAACCCAAGGCTCTTCCAGAGATGACATCAGAGGAATTCCAAGGTATTTTATCATTTTTGTTTACAATGAGTTTACAAATAAGTTTGTAGTGGTTTTGTCCACATCTTTGAGTAGAGTACAGTTGTACACCATTGGTTCTAGCGTCTTCTTACCATCTGTCTTGCCGTATCAGACAAGTGTCTGGCTGACGCTCAGACCGGACGCTGCAGAGCCTCCATTAGACGCTATCACTACAACAATGGCACCTGTCAACCTTTCACCTATGGAGGCTGCGGTGGGAACCAGAACAATTATGAAACTGAGGAAACATGCATGACGACCTGCACAGGTACAATTGTGTGCGACTATTCATTTCCTGATCAGCCTTCATCCCTATAAATCACTATAAAATTATACCCATGTGTTTGCATCCCAGTGAGGCTCATTCCCAGCAACCAGAAGGCAGCTGTCGTTCCCTCTACTCCTATCCCTAACAGCATCCCCAGCTTTGAAGGTAAAATGGCAAAAGGGGTTCTATCAGATTATAAATCAGCTGTCCTGAATTTCTCCATTTCAAAGTTATCACTAGTGATGCAATAATGAATGTTTATAACACATTGGCTGCGGAGGAGTGAGACGTGTTTTGCGGTGGCTCTTCGGATTTGGGAATAAATTATTTTTATTAGTGCTCCTTGTGAAATGCGGTTAGACATTATAAGCAACTTAAACTCAATTGAGTCCGACTCTGACTCTGTAAAAAGAGAGATAACTGCAGTTCTGGAGCCGTTTGAGAGACTGTTACGAGCCTTGAACGGGCTGCTAATAACCAAAGTAACCAATCGGACGAGCTACAAGCGAATGTTAACAGGCGATCAAGGTTGAGAAATATTCATCTGGTGGGCTTACCTGAGGGATCCGAGGGCTCACGAGCCACCGAATTCACAGTGTAACTTCTTCAGGAGTTTTTGGGACTCGAGTCCCAAGTGTTTCACTGATGACTTCGAGAAAAGCCTGGTGCAGGATAACCTCATCGTCCACTCATTATCAAGGTGTGCAGCTTTCAAGTCCGAAACCAAATTCTGCGACTTCTTTACAATGGAAAGATTTCCATTTTCCCTGACTTCGCTCTGTCAGTGGCGAAGAAACTGGTGCTTTTGCACCAGTGAAAAAAGAACTCCACTTTTGTCAGAATGTCAAATTTGGGCTTTGTTTCCCGGCAACTTTACAGATTACCTTATCCCGAGGCGATGTGCACAGGTTTGATGATCCCAATTTGGCTTTAGACTTTGTCAGAAAAAAACATTGAGAAAGGTGTTAAATAGGCTGTTTGACTGCGAGTTATCCGACCTGACATTTTTTTCTTCAAATTTCTCTGAAATAATGAAATATGACGTGATCTCTTTCTTTCTTTTTGTCATTAATTTAATTTTTTCTCTTAAATGTTTGATGACTTTGGCAGCCTTTAGATTTTAGTGCATATGCACAATGTTCTTGTTTTAAGGATATGTCGTAATTCCTTGTACGCTGGTTCTGTGAGCTCTTAGAGCAACTATTTTGCACACATCTCATTTGGGGAGGTGCTTCAACCCGCTATGCACATGAGGTTATTTCAGATGGAAGTTTTGTTTTGCAGTCAGATGTTTTTTCAAATGAGGACTTTATCAGTTTTATTTCTCAGCAAATAGATTTTTGTATTAGTGTGAACAAAACTCCAGATGTCTCTGCTGCTGTTTTGTGGGAAAGTCTTAAAGCCTATATTAGGGGGGAAATCATGTCATGTACGAGAGAAAACTGAGATTGAAAAGTTCTCTACATTGGCAAAGCGAATACCTCAGCTTGATCATTTATATGCCACATCCCCGTTCCCAGATATATAAAGAGCGCCTGTCTTTACAATCAGAGTTTGATATTCTTTTCTTTGTTTTTGTATTTGTTGATTTTCTTTATATATATATATATATATATATAGGTACACATTGTATATACTTTATATCTACCCTTTTGTCACTGTTTTTGTGTTCAAAAGCATTAAATAAACCAGAAAAAAACATTAACTTATCATTCTTCCTCCTGTAACTCAATACAGAAGCCTGTGCTCTGCCATCTGAGTCCGGCCCATGCCGTGCAAGCTTCCCTGTGTTTTACTTTGAGGCCAGCACTCAGTCTTGTAAGCCCTTCATCTATGGAGGCTGCCAGGGAAACCTAAACCGTTATGGTAGTGAGGAAGAGTGCATGTCAGCTTGCCACGGTAAGAGTACAGAAATTCTGCTTCCTGTTGTATGTATTTGCCTTTGCTTTGCTGGTGGCTTATGTTGTTGTACTACTTTTATATAGGGAGGATGGATGAACATGGACATCTCAAACGTGACCGCTGGACTCCAGGTGAGGCATTGTTGAACACCTGAAATTACTTAAATATAAGTTCAATTTAATTATTTATATGAATTAATTATAATTTACATACACCGATTTCTGATTAAAATAAATACAAATAAGATTATTTCTATTCATCAATAATCATGAATTCATCAAATTCATGAATCAAAAATATCATGGTTTCCACAAAAATACGAAGCAGCGTAAGGAATGCATAACAAGAAATGTTTCTTGAGCAAAAAATCATATTAGAATGATTTCTGAAGGATCATGTGACACTGAAGACTAGAACAATGAAGCTGACAATTCAGGTTTGCCATCAGAGGAATAAATTACTTTTTAAAATATATTCAAATGGAAAACGGTTATTTAAAATTGTAACAATATTACTATTTTTACTGTTTATATTATTATTTTTACTGATCAAATGATAGCATTGGTACCAAAAAAAATCATACCAACCCTAAAATGTTCATATATTTACTGTAAGTACAATGTGTATTGCATGTACTGTACAGACTGATTTTATTAAATTTAATACATTTGTATATTATTTATTGTTTTTTGCCAATTTCATATTGCATATTTTACCTGCAAAATTTACAAAGTGTCTATTTACACCAGGTACCTTGTTGGCAGAGGCTATTTATACAAACTCCACCCACTATTGTCTGTTTGTGCCAGACAAAATTAACAAAGACATCCCACCCATAACAGTATTAGTGGTGTTAAGAGTAAGGCGGGTGGCGTTTGCTTTTGACGTGACCGACCCGAGTTCGAATCTGCCTTTTACCAAACTCATTCTTCTTCCTTTTCCCATCACAAATCAGCTAAGAGTAGTATTTATTGTAAATAAAAATTAAAAAAATATTCGAAAAGTGAAAATAAAGTGCCATACGTGTATGGGAATAAATGTTTAACCAGAAGGTTAGAGGTAGGTGTAGAGGAGGGCTTTAGGTCCCAATAAGGCAGCATCCATTTATGATTTTAATAAATATAATCATATACACTGAACATGTTGTTATTATTGTACACTGTTTTATAATATACTACAATATACTGAGGTGCAAATAGTATCTGCCACTCTCTGAAAACTACTTTTTGTTGCTATTTACACTTTATGTAAATGGAATCTATTGCTGTTTACACTTAGTGCCCAAAATTGAACATGTCTTGTGTCTCTTCCAGCCTTCTTCCTAGTGGCCACCCTGGCCATCATGTCTGCCCTACTTCTGGTAGGTTTGATCCTGATCGCAGTGCGCAGAAACTCCAACAGGAGGTTCATCATGTTGGATGACAAGGAGGAGTTACTGCCTACAGAGGAGCAGGTGTCTTATGAGAAGCTACCCAAAGTGGTTTCCAACTAAAGCCGGATGCCTTTCAGTGTCTGGTACAAACTTCCATCTCATCACACTCCAACATTCAGATCAATTAAAACCACAGAGAATTTAAGTTACATTAAAGTTCCAATTTGAGTACATTTTGTAAGATGTTCCAAATGATCAACAAAGAACATTATACATATCGACATGCAGGCATTATGCAAACTGCAAATTTCTCACACATGAGGAACCAGTTAAGAATAACGTGCATGTTTCATGGTTGTTTGTTTAATTGTAAAAGTGGGAGATATTGTACTATACTTTGGTGAGTTGGTTGAAATACTTCTGTTACCTTCTTTGTCATCTGTCACTTTTTATGGTTATTATACACATGAAGTAAATCAGCTTTCAGGGATATATTTATCACAACCATAATGACAAAGAATATTATTAATAATGGAGTGGTTTCCCATAAACTGTTTTGACTTCACTTACATGTACATGTTTGTATACATTTATACATAAGAATAATTCATTGATGATTTTTTTATTGGCTTATAACAACACTCATGGCACATTTTGTCTCTAGATTTCATTAGTGAGAATGATTCTATGGAAGTCAAAATATATCTGTAGCAACTTCAGACTTTTGCTGATGCTTGCTTACAACTGAATGCCTTTTAACTGACCTGTAACTGTTTAATTCATACCAGCCTATACTTTTTTTTTAAAGCATTGCTATTTTCAAATCTTCAACAATAAAGGTAAATTTAATCAGTTTTTTTTTTTTTTCTCCAAGTTTATTGTCCCACCCTCCGAGCTAAATTTCACTGCCACTCTTTAATAGCTTCTGTGTAAACACACGAACACAATTAAACCATTAGGGCAAGAGTTAACTAGATAATGAAGCTAGATTATACCCGGAAGGTCATGACAGAGGTATTTTTCATAAATGTCAAGGCCAGGATGTCACATGTGCTGTTTTTTTCGCCTGTGTGTTTTTTTATGTATATTACCTTTTCCATTTAATCTTTTTCCTGAATTGTTTAATTTTTCCTAATTGTTTTACTGTTTACTGCTAAAAATGTTGCACAAGCCTTTTTTATTATTGATAGCGTTTCATTTTTTTAATAAAAGGTGTTCTTCAATCGGTGTAAACAGCAATTTACTCTTATGACAACATTCTCTGCTATATAGCCATGTTCAATAAATTATAAGACTTTAAAATATGTAACAGAATCCGAAACGGACTTTCAAAGTTTAAATTTTAAACATATTGCTGGAGCAAAAGAGAAAACGCACACAAAAAACATCTAGCCCCCTAGTGGTCATTCACATTCACATTTGACTAACCACTAGGGGGCGATGGTGGATTTGATGTTGGCAAAGTCTAGGAATACAAAGAAGCGCAAAGTAGGCCTACTTCATTATTTTGGTCTTGTTTTAATTAATATCACATGTACGCACTCCAATAATGAAAATGTATTTTAGATACTCAAGTTAATCTTTTACTCTGAATGAAAATTAGGGAGTCAGTCACAGACATGAGCACTTCTGTGACATATAATCCCCTTAGAATCTAGTATCACAATATGTTTATCAAGTCCATTATTATTACTCTTCATGTTTGTTCATAGCAAAAACGTCAGAGTTATTGCTGTATGAGGTACGGGAAGAGTGAACCTAATTTATGATCTAACTATTTTTCATAAGAGAAATTCTCACGCACAGAGCAGCATTTGGAATGTAGTTTCTGTCTTTGTCTCAGCAAGCTGAGAGCTCTGAAATTAGGTCATAAAGACCGAGCGATTAGCTCATTTCCCAGTCATGTAAAATCACCCCCTCTGCTCACACAGAACAGGGGAAAAAAGGAAGGCAGGAGAACATGACAAAAAGTCTGCCTAACATGGCAAAGTTACTACAAAGCCTTTGTGCCGAGCGCTACAAGTTTACTACAGTAGTAGGAACAACCCAACTAGACTGGGTTCAATACAAATCACACTGAAAAAAATAAGTGAAAAGGTCTTGATGGAGGTGTTTTGGAAAACCTGAGAAAATGGGAGGAATGAGGGGGTCATGGCTCACACTTAGATCACGAAAGTGCAGTGTGGGAAACGCGCTGTGTTTACAGAGTGCCTGCAAGCCTCCCCATTCGTCTACTGCAGGGCTCCAGGATGTTGTAAGGGCCTTTTGTGTTTAAGTGTGTATCTGAGCCTTGGCCTATGTAACCCCTGCATGTTGTCAGTGCCCGTGGTCATCTGGTTTCCATCCCGCGTAAGTGTAATTGTGCTTATTTAGTGTGACACCCCTCCTTTCTCCTCCCTCCTCACCCATCACGCCAGCTGCCCGACTAACTGCTTGGATGCTCGGCATTCCATGAATGTGAGTGCGCCAAGCCTCCTAATGGACCCAAACGCACAATCTTCTTGACTCAAGTTTATTGAGAGTTTTAAAGACAGACATTTCCAAACAGACTGCAAACCACTTTACTTTTGTCTGCAAATAACTTTATTCAGCATTGTATTCTCTTCCGGTTCTGTTGTCGAGCCGCGTTCAGTAAGACGCTGCTGACGTGTGTAATCTGGTGCGCCCAATACAGTCTGAGGGAGACGCACGCTGTAAACAAAACAATCTTCGCAAACATGTCTAAGGATTTCGACACAGAGGAAGACTTGCATTTTTTTGCCCAGCCATATTTATTTGAACCCGAATACACGGACGCACCAGATACACGTCAGCAGCGTCACTGCGGACTCGTGAACGCGGAATGACAACAGAACCGGAAGACAATACAATGCTTGAATAAAGTGGTAGTTTTTGTTATTTTTGGACCAAAATGTATTTTCGATGCTTCAAAAAATTCTAACTAACCCACTGATGTCACATGGACTACTTTGATGATGTCTTCAATGGAGGGACAGAAAGCTCTCGGACTAAATCTAAAATATCTTAAACTGTGTTCCGAAGATGAACGGAGGTCTTACGGGCTTGGGACGACATGAGGGTGAGTCATTAATGACATAATTTTCATTTTGGGGTGAACTAACCCTTTAATATATCTCTTTTTTTTTTTTAGTTAAGGTGTAAAAACACTATGGTTTCCTCACCTATGGTGAGTGTGTTCCTTAGAGATGTTGTTTAAATTGATAAAACTCACAAGCCCTTTCACCCCTGCATCAGTTCGTCCACCACTGCAGCCCTCTGCACCTCTCAGGCCTGTCACCACGTCTTTAGTGCCTGACAACAGACTGCAATGAAAAACAGCAGAAGATCAACACAAACCACATCCGACTGAAAACAGAGACGAGATAGAGATAATGACACGAGAGAAAGAGAGTGAAAAAACATGTCACAATCTGGAAAGATTGGGTTATGATAAATGACATAGGAGAAGAAGAAAGAGTGCACTGGGGTGAGAGGCAGCCTTAGAGAAAGCCACTGGTGATGATGTCATGGCTTTGGCTCTCTAGAGCGTGGAGAGGGCCGGGCCTCAGCGCAGCGCTGGGGGGGGTGCGGGGCCGTGGATTGGGTCTTGGCGGAAGGGGGACTGTAATTTGAGTGACCCCCATCTCAAATTGAAAGCAGTTGTGAATTCTCTCGAGGGTAAAGTTTAGCAATCCAGACTCGGCTCACGGTTCCCACGACACAGTCCGACCTCCCTCCTCACTCTGTCCCGATGTCCATTCTTTCTCTCTTTCCTTCCTAAAATCACTATAGTCTCCGTGCCTATAAATGGGAAGTCTGGTGGCAGTTTCGAGGAAAGGCCAGCACTGAAAAAGGCAATAAGGAGGACTCGCAGCATCCATGATTATTAAAAGAAATCTGGAGATTATAAAATGCCTCTGAAATGGAAAATAGTTGGAGGCAGATAGACCGCACCCGCCTCGTTTTTCTCTCTACTTTCTCTATCATTTTATCGTCTTCTTTATCTTTCTTAGCAAGACAAACGCCTGTTCTGCAGCATCTGGGGAAAATGACCAGTGCAACCAACACACAGAAAATATCTCTTAAAATCCCTTAAAATATTAGATCATTTGACCTTTTATGACAAGCCAAGGTTTGTTCAGGATAGAAAACATCATGTAGTGTGACTCCTCAGAATCATATTGCTATTTATGTGTTAATAATTTGTGATATTTGTGGAAAAAAAAACCCAGGGCCGTGGAACAATTAATCGCGATTAAGCTTTGAAAATAAAAGTTTGTGTTTCCATAATATATGAGTGTACTGTGTAGAATTATTTTGTATATATAAATACACACAAATGCATGTATATATTTAAGACAAATGTGTTATTTATATAAAAAATATTTATATTTATATATAATATAAATATATATACAGTAGCCTATATAAATGCAAATATTTATCAAATATATAGGCCTACATGCATGTGTGTGTATATACAAAATAATTATACACGGTACACATACTGTACATATTATGTAAACACAAACTTTTATTTTGGATGCGATCATTCGTTGCACAGCCCTAAAAAAAACCCCCCAAAAACACTTTTTACTTTTAAAAATATATTTTAAGAACAGTTTTGAAATGGTTTTGTTAGGTGTAAGGTGAAAATGTATGACTTTTCACTGTGTTCTAAAGTTTTTTAAACTATACTAAACTAGATGAAAGATTTTTCCTTTAGTTTATTGCGGAATCTCTTACACGTCATTGACCCGTCTGCGATCTGAAAGGGATGCAGATGCCCTGATATTTCAGTACTGAGGTTCATAGTTAGTAAGGTCTGTCTTAGAGAAAATAGAGCCAAGAGGTCTAAAGTCATTTGAGTTTCCTAATCCATCCACCCACTTGCCATGAATATTGTTGTTTCAGCAAAGTGCTGGCAAGCTCAAATCTTCCAATCAAATTATGTTTTTGATTAACATAGGCAGTCTGGTCTAAAGCACACCTCACCCATGCAAGAGACTGGGATTTATTTGGAAAACACTGGCATATCATTTGATGCCTGAAGAGTCTCCTTTTGGAGAACGATGATGTGGTATAGTAAAAAAAAAAAAAAAAGGCATTCAAAGCGTAATTTCTGTAATCTTCTGGCAGTACAGCTAATTGCTGAATGTATA